CCGAGCCAGAACCCGTGTTCAGGCTTTGGGCTCTATAGTACCTCTGCAGTCCTTGACACTGTGGCTCTCCCCAGCGCCATGCAAATCTCTCCTTTGTGGGTGTGGTTCTCCTCCCCCCACCCCCACCCCCATCCCTTTAAACCACGCCTTCTTCGTCCCGTCTATAGGCACCCACTCCTCAGCCTTTCCCACATGTGATTCTTCTGCAGGTCCTCCCAGGGTCCCCGTCCCATTCTGCACACCATCTCCAGGGGGCCTCCCTCCCTCCCACCATTTCAGTTAACGCGATGCAATGCTGGCTCCCTGACAGGCGTCTTGAACTATCCCCCAGACTCCAGACCCCAATTTCTCACTGTATTGGTACCTATAGCCTTCCAGCTCCTTCCATCATCTGGACATACTTGTTCTACCTTCTGGCTTCTTGGGCTCTGCTTGCAGTCCCTCCAATGCTTGGCATCCCAAGCCAGAAACCTACAAATCATGCTGGACCCTTCCCATTCCTTTGCCATCTCGTCCAACCTGTTGCCAAAATCCTCTTGATCTTCTCTCAGATCTCTCTCTCAAATCTGAGCCTCTCCGTGCATACTGACAGGATCATAAACATAGTGAATACTTACACAGTTCCTATGTTCTAGGCACTTGTCTAAAAGGCACACACCCTCTCATTTGACCTTCGCAACAACCCTGTGAGATAGGTACCATTAGTTTCCCCATTTCCAGATGAGGAGAGTGGGGAACACAGAAGGTGAGGAATTTTCCCAAGGCCGCAGGATCATGATTCCAGCCCGGGCAGCCTGCCTCTGTGCTCGTGTGCTTGACCTCTTTGCTATAACCCCTCTCCCGAGCTTTGCCCGTTTCTTCATACCGCAACAGCATTCCATCAGGCCTCTCCTTCGTCCTTCCTTCCCTCCTCACCCACAACCCCTCTAATGCCCTTCCATTACATGAAACTAGTCATGCTGGAAAACACCTAATGGCTCCCTACTGCCCACAGGAGGAAATTCTTCGGTGTGCATTCAAGGTTCTTCACAACTAGGCCCGACCCCCAGCTCCTGCTTCCCCTGCCTCATCTCCCCCCATGTTCACCTTCTCACACTTCCCCTGAAGCCACGCCCTTTCTCAAGGGAGCCCTCACACTCACTGGCTCCTATGCCTGGAATACTCTCGCCGCCCTTCTCTGCCAGCCAAATCCCTTACTCTTCCCCTGTCCCCCACTTCAGACACCATCTCTTTGGTGATGTCCTCAGGCAGGGACCCAGGCGCTCAGCGCTACCCGTCTCTCACGGAACTCACCGCGCAGTTTTGCAATTTATCTTCTTACTCCCGACACCCCCTCTCCAGCGCTTCGGAATGACTAAATATTCAAGGAATGAATGACGGGCCCCAAATCCAGCCAGCTGGGTCCTTCTGCCTCTGCCCCTACATTCCAAGCGATTCTTTTCATGGGACCACACAAAATCATGAAGATTGGAAAGATATCATGGGACTTATTTCCCCCTACTCTCTCCAGCTCAGGGTGAAGAAATGGACACTCTCTTCCCTATTTCTCTTCGAAGAAAAAAGTGAAAGGAGAGTGGGAGTCAAACCAACCGGTCGGAATAGGGCATGAAAGAAATAAGGGAACCTAACAGACAGATGGTGGGAGCCTGAGAGATCACCCCATGCAAACTTCTCCATTTTATCCGAGAGCAAACTGTGGGCCAGGAAGATGGAGAGGTTTGTCTAAGGACAAGGACTAGTGAGAGGTAGAGCAATGGCACTGGCACCAGGACGTCTGCCTCCCCGTCTGCAATGGCA